GTTTATGCTACAAGTTATGCTGTGCTATATAGTACAGTTTGTTAAAAAACATTCAAAAACACGTGTTACATACGCGTTTAGCTCTAAAAAGAATACATTTCTCGTGTCTCCTCAGTTTCAAGACACTCTCCTTGATGTGAAGCCAAATCTCGAGGTCCTTGGCGTTGATATATCCAGTGACGTTCAGTTTTGCGGTCATTTGGAGGACAAGGCTAAAATAGCCTCAAAAAAGCTTGGTGTGCTCAGTAGAGTGAGACGGTATTTCACGGCGGCCCATCGCTTGCAATTATACAAGGCGCAGATCCGGCCGCATATGGAATACTGTTCTCATCTCTGGGCGGGAGCACCACAATACCAGCTACTTCTATTTGACCGCATTCAGAACCGAGCAGCCAGAATCATTGGTAATCAACGTCTATGTGACAGACTCGACCCATTGGCTTTGCGGCGAGATATTGCATCTCTGTGCATTTTCTACCGCATATACATATCACTTATTCGTTTTGTGACGACCTTGGGACTGTTTGGACCAGCCCCCAAAATACTTACCAATTTTAGTACTAGTCTAGTATTAAGTTAACAGAAAAACACTGTTTGAACATTTATCATTTTTATTATAAGACTAGCTGTTTCCGCGAATTCCGTTCTGCGTGGAATTTGACTTTATTTGTCTAAAATATAAGTAGCCTAAGTTACTCCTTATCACATCAGCTACCTGCCAAAAAACGTCCCGTTAAAATCGGTCCAGCCATTTCTGAGATTAACCGGAACAAACAGACAGATAAACGAAAATTGTAAAAAATGTTATTTCGGTGTATGTACTGTATTTATATTCATATGCATGTAGTAAAAAACTTCAATATTACAAACAGACACTCCAATTTTATTTATATGTATAGACATAGATTAGAAGGAAATCAAAACACAAACACAAAAATAAAAAAATGATATTTATATAACAGCTTGGTTAATTTGAAGGGTGATCTTGCTTTCAAGCGCATAACTTATAAAAGGGTTCCAGTTTAGAAATTGCTACTCTCATTTCTTCTTCTAACTCTATTTTTGACCTGAACTTGTTCTTAATTACTGCAACTGCAGAAAAACCCGTTTCGCATACATTCGAAGTCGTATATGGTAACATTCCTGGTTATTTTCTGTTCATTATCACTATAGTAATAGTTGTATATGATGGAGATATTCAGTGGATTACATATGTATACAGCAGTAAATATAATTTACTTTCGTTCCGATAACAGTTTCACGTTACATACAAACTGTTACTTAGCAACAATACTTATTTTAAATGTGATGTGATTATACTTTTTCTTCATCAATGTAGTAGTATCTCCAGAGACTAAATTGACAGATGTAATTGTCAAATTTTCAAATAAGAAACACCTATAATAGGGTAGTTGTGTACCTGCGATACCGATTAGTCTAATCGGAAATTTAACAAGTTTAGTACTGTAGTACAGTCTGTACAGTTGTCTAGTACCTGTAACACAAGCTCTGCTTAGTCTGGGAACAGTTAGCGCTGTATAAATAGTCCAGTCTTATTGTTTATTAATTTTTTAAACAAATTATCGATAATGAGGTTTATATTATGGTTTTCATCATTACATAGTATAAAACAAAGTCGCTGTCGCTGTCTGTCCGTCCCTACGTATGCTTGAATCTTTAAAACTACGCAACGGATTTTGGAGAGGTTTTTTTTAATAGATAGAGTGATTCAAGAGGAAGGTTTATATGTATAATACATGTACATCCATGCGAAGCCGGGGCGAATAGCTAGTTATATAAATAAACAAATACTGTTGTTTAGTTTGTATAAAAATTGTTTATTATAATTTCTTATCTTAATTTCATTGTATACTATTGGTAAATATTTATTATTATTGTAAATATATAGTCGGCAAATTCTTAAAACTACATTTTTGTACATGATGTATACATTAATCGAATTCAATTTAATTACTAAGTTAATTGTTATATTGAAAAATAAAATATTTATGGTATTTATATAAAAACTATGAATGTAAGCATCGTATATAATTTCTTATAGGTTTGTTATGGAAGAGCTGTTATAAGAATTACGAACAGGCACCTCAGATTTATTCATTTGTTATTATTAAATTATATTATATACATTTTTTATTATATAAAAATACTTCATTATAATATATGCTATTGGTAACTAGTCGGCAAATTCTTAAAACTACAATTTTGTACATGATTTATACATTTATCGAATTCAATATAATTATTAAGTAAATTCATATAAAAATATACCATTTATATTATATTCCTAAATATAATTTAAGAAGAAGGTTATTGTTAGTTATTGTTAGTGTTAGGACTAAAGCAAAAATCAATAGTCCAAAGGACCTACGCTACAGGACTGTTGATTTTTGTATGTTATTTATTTTGATAATGGCTTTTGTGATCAAACTCCGACTTTATCATAGTAGCGATGGTAAGGTAAATAATCTAGTGTTAGTGATGACCTAGGAGTGATCTAAGGGACCTACGCTACAGGACTATTGTTTTCTGTATGCTGTTTATTTTGATAATGGCTTCTGTATTAGTCATCAAACTCCGACCGTTATCACAGCGTTTCCAGTAGTGATAGTAAGGTAATCTAGTGTTAGTGTTGACCTAGGAGTGATCCAAGGGACCTATTTTACAGGACTTCTGTATGCTGTTTATTTTGATAATGGCTTTAGTGATCAAGCTCCGAGCTTCTCATAGTGTTTCTAGTAGCGATGGTAAGGTAAATAATCTAGTGTTAGTGATGACCTAGGAGTGATCCAAGGGACCTATGCTACAGGACTTTGCTTTTTGTATGCTGTTTTCTTGATAATGGCTTCTCTATTAGTGATCAAACTCCGACCGTTATCATAGTGTTTCTAGTAGTGATAGTAAGGTAAATAATCTAGTGTTAGTGATGACCTAGGAGTGATCTAAACGACCTAAGCTTCAGAACTATTACCTTTTGAAAAAATAAAGTCACTTACGCTGTGTGTTCACTTGTATCTCTTAAACAACGCAACGCATTCTAACGCATATACCTTTTAATTTACGCAACGGATTTTAATGCAGTTTTCAGCAATAGATAGAGTGATTCAACAGGAAGGTTTGTATGTATAATAAATGCGTGTTATAGTATAGGACAAGCCGAGAAATTCAAACATTTGTAACTAATGAATAGTGCAAAGTTGGAACGGATTGCTAGTGTTAAATAAATTATTACTGTATGTATTTACAAATTCAAACTACAATAAATTTTCACAGTGCAACTGGTGGAAGAGTTATTCATAAAAACTAAAATTTTTCACTAAACCTATTTCAACTAATACAGTGTTTTGTTTATGTTTTACGAATTAAATAAACTATATTAAATAAATAACGCTAAAAAAAAGGAAAAATAGTTTTTTTTATGAAATTGTAATAGCAATCAGACTGATCACCTGATTGTAAGTGGTAACAGTGGATCAGCACGGACATCTCGTCATCATGTGACGCCTGTTATACTACTCACGTGTTGCCATTCCAGAGTACTAAGATGTCATGCTTGTGTCTTAACCTATAATTTCACTTTCTAATTTGGAACCTATAACTGTAAACAGCTTAGAAAAGCTGCTTGGCAGCTTAAATAGATGAGACCGAGGTCTTTGTAGTCTATAGTTGAAATAGGTTTATTAATTAATTGATATTTATATATATAAGATAAGAAAGAATATTACAAAAGTTTATTATCTAACTAGAAACTCATCTACGATGGCAAGTCTATTGATGTCTATACACGGAGAGATTTGTAGTCGTTTCAATTACATATATATTTAACATGTCTCATTTATATAGTACATCACCAACAGTCTCTCTGCACCACTCATGGTTGCCTGGTACATAACTCCGGAAAGTGTTAAGTCCGCCATATGTTTTTGTGCGTTGAAGTTAAATAAATATGAATAATGAACAGAGATTAAGTGCGTAGCGGTTTCTATGTTGATTGTCGCATGCCTAATCCTTGTTGTTAATTAAATATAAGTAAATCAATATTTATTTAAAAGAGCAACACACAAATTTTTTGCTAATTCTTCTTATGATGAATCTGCATTCCGTATAAGCGGTAGAATCAAAAAACTTGACTATTCAAAAGTGCTTATATTAAGTTTATTTGAATAAAGATTATTTCTATTTCTAATGTAAATAACTTGACTTTAAAAATTGTTTAATTATGTTGATATTAATAATATATTTTAAATTTTCTCACTTAATTCCTTGATTAAGATTTATAAATAACTTAATGCATTTATATTATTTTGTTTAATTCCACTACCATTATCATGTGTGAGACCACAAATATTTAGTGCGGAAACCTGACCACCGCTACTGGAAGCGTTACGACCTTCTCTATTGGTGATCAAATTCCGACCGTTATTGAGTCTTCACCCATATTGCAATATGATCCGATAACTGTCGCAGTTTATCTTCATAATGACTTCTCTATTGGTGATCAAACTCCGACTGTTATCATAGTGCTTTCCACTGGAAGTAAGAGTTGATCACCAATAGAGAAGGTCGTAACGCTTCCAGTAGCGGTGGTCAGGTTTCCGCACTAAATGTTTGTGGTCTCACACATGATAATGGCAGGGAAATTAAACAAAATAATATAAACTCATTAAGTAATGAAATGGACTTCTGTCTAACACCTAATTCGATAAGATATATAATTTTGAATATATTTGTGATGATAAAATCCATTTTATAAATAGATCTCTTTCAGTCTATAATTAATACATTTTCATTTAGTTTTTTCTTTACATTTGTGATAATAAGGTTCGATATAATGATGTTGACATATTTGGTAACAAAAACCCCAAAAACAACTTAGTTAATAAAAAAAAAATCTTTCCGATGTTTCGATAAATCGATAAAAAATCGCTCCGTGTATGGTACAAGATACAAGTGTAAGTACTTAAATATAAAATAAGTCTTATCTACTTTTTGCCAGCGATGTAATTCCCTGTTTCATCCTTATATAGATCCTCGTTGATCCCGTAGTACCCTGGAGAGTTCTGACAGTCCACCTGTAAATTAAGGGATGTAGAATTATTATTAGTATTTTAATAAAGAAAGAAAGTAAGGAAGAAACAAAGAAAGGAAGAAAGAAAGAAAGAAAGAAAGAAAGAAAGAAAGAAAGAAAGAAAGAAAGAAAGAAATATTTACAAAGATAGACTTCGTCGTCGTGATGACCTTAGAAATCTAACTGTTTAGCACATTGCTTTCCTGGGTTCGATACCTGACATGTTGCAAACATTTGTATTCATGAGTATGATTGTTTGCATCGGTCTGAGGAAAAAATATCTAAGTATTTATATCAGTTGTCCTGTACCCATAACACAAGCTCTACTCACCTTGGGACTAGATGGCGTTGTGTGAATTGTCCAGGGTAAATTTTATTATTATAATATAAACAACAGTTACCATTTACCATTGGGTCGATGGTGAGCTAGTTTACCATTAAAATGACATAAAAAATATGTGCTGGGAATAGCAGAAAATAAGTAAGAAGTGGAAGGAATGGCAAGAAATTTATTTGAGGTTTTACAGGCTGGTTTTCATTTGGACAAATATATCGACTAGATGCGTAACCTGCATGTATATAAGCTGAACCTGCAAACGTTGTTTTACCATACAAATAAAACTGGCTATTAAAAAATAGTGGTGGATGGTAAAAGAGTGAAAAATTTAGGTTATATGTATTTTTAATGCAATATTAATAAAAATATAAAAACTCCAATATACATTAAAATTGCTATTAAAAATATTGGTTGAGGGTAGAACTATGAAAATTTGGGGTTATATGTATTTTTTATATTATGAAACATTAAAAAAAAATCAAAATTATCCAAGAAATAAAAATAAATGTCAGAGGTGGACAACCCTTATCACTTAGGGGTATGAAAAATAGATTGTAGTCGATTCTCAGACCTACTGAAAATACGTTTAAAATTTCATAAAAATCAGTCAAGCCGTTTCGGAGGAGTATGGTAACCAACATTGTGATCACCATCCACTGTCAATTCATCCCCACACGCTAGAACCTAAATGGTTGCGGACAGTGCGGTCTCAGAGGAGCTTCCTCCCGCGTACACTTACAGTGTGGAATGAACTACCTGCCGAGGTTTTTTCCGACACTACAGCATGGGGTTTTTCAAGGAGGGTATATTAAGGTTTCTTAAGGGTCGGTACGTAACACCCCTGGTGTTTCAGGCATTCATAGGCTACGATAATTTATTCCATTTACCATCAGATGGGCCGTTTGCACACTCGTTTGCCACCATCGTAGTATAAAAAAATATATATATAAGACTAGCTTTTGCCCGCGGCTTCGCTCGCTTTAATTTATCCCCTTAGGGGTGGAATTTATCAAAATCCTTTCTTAGGGGATGCCTACGTCATAGTAGCTTTATGCATGCAAAGTCTCAGCCCGATCGGTTTAAAATTGACAAAGTTTTATACAAACTTTCATCCCCTATTTTATCCCCTTGGGTTTAGAATTAATCAAAATCCTTTCTTAGCGGATGCCTATGTCATAACATCTACCTGTATGTCAAATTTCAGCCCGATCCGTCCAGTGGTTTGGTCTGTGCGTTGATAGATCACTATGTCAGTCACCTTTGAGTTATATGTATATATAATAGATTTAATTTTCGTACACGTATATACTTGTTTACAACATTCTTTGAGTTATATATATTTAGATTTATTAACTGACCTTATAAAACCAATCACAGACTCTTAGCCTCTGATTGAAGACAGTTCCTGGAGCACAGACAAATGAGTACATAACATTCCCTCCTATACTCGGCACGCACCAATGCCACACCTGCAAAAACAAACAGATATTCATTTCCAAATAGCGACAATAATTTTCTAAACGCACTGTACCTTGTGTACTAGCTATTGCCCGTGGCTTCACTCGCACCATTAAATAATCGGAGATCATTACAATAGAAATGAATCAATTTGATGAATATCTTCATTACTGGCTGCTGAAGTAGTAAAATATTGATATTGTATTTAGATTTAAATAAATAAGTCAATTAAACTTTCTTTTTATTTTAAATTTACTATAAGATACCAAAGGATATATTGGAATTAATTAAAACCTTAAATAAATTCAAAACATCTGTTAAATCATATATACTGAGCAAAGCCTATTACTCACTAAACGATTACTTGAATGACGAGCGTGCATGGCAATAGTTGTTCATGCACGGGATTTTCATATAATGTTAGACATAGACACCTATATATTAAAGCTTAGTTCCGGACTAGATGTCTGTGTCTTTCTCTGTCTGTGTCTGTGTATATCTGTGTGTCTCTGTCTGTTGACGGAAATAAGCTTGTGTTATGTGCTACCCACATAACACAAGCTTAGTTCCGGACTAGATGTCTGTGTCTTTCTCTGTCTGTGTCTGTGTATCTCTGTGTGTCTCTGTCTGTGTCTAGTGTGTCTGTCTGTCTCTGTCTGTTGACGGAACTAAGCTTGTGTTATGTGCTCCCCACATAACACAAGCTTAGTTCCGGACTAGATGTCTGTGTCTTTCTCTGTCTGTCTCTGTCTGTTGACGGAACTAAACTTGTGTTATGTGCTCCTTACATAACACAAGCTTAGTTCCGGACTAGATGTCTGTGTCTTTATCTGTCTGTGTCTGTGTATCTCTGTGTGTCTCTGTCTGTCTGTGTCTGTCTGTTGACGGAACTAAGCTTGTGTTATGTGCTACCCACATAACACAAGCTTAGTTCCGGACTAGATGGCGCTGTGTGAATTGTCCTGATATATTAATATTTTACTGCATTATTCAGTAAATATAAGATGAATCTCACCTGACACATGGTCTCAGTATCAGCATAATATCCTGGTATTTTGTCATTGCAGGTGAATGATAGACCCTTTGGCACCTCGGTGAAGACTGGGTAATCATCACCAGGCACGTAACCATCCAACTGCTGCTGACAAAATGATGAATAAGAAAAAACACAAAAATCTTTTCGTCACTTAGATTTCTGAAAGGCACGATATCCTCCGCGTGGAATTATAAAAAAAAATAATAAAAAGACATTACTTTCATAAAATTATTCATTTTAAAACTCGTTTAAATCTATACATATAACTAAAATTGGAGTATCTGTTTGTAATATTGAAATAACCGTTTCTTGCTACATGCATATGAACATAAACAGTAACGGTACATACAACAGAATAACAATTTTTGTCTGTCTGTCTGTTTGTTCCGGCTAATCTCGGAAAGGGCTGGACCGATTTTGACGGGACTTTTTTTGGCAGGTAGCTGATATAATAGGGAGTAACTTAGGCTACTTTTATTTTAGAAGAATAAAGCTAAATTCCACGCGGACGAAGTTGCGTGTACAGCTAGTATATATTAATAAATTAGATGTGCCTGCGAATTTTAGAGGCATGAAAATGTTATTCTGTGTATTATAAAGCTGAGTTTGTTTGTTTGAACGCGCAATATAACTGGCTGATAGATGGCGCTGCTGGAGCAAAATGTTATTTTTTTTTATTTTACAAAAAATATTTAATTTTTTTTTTCAATAAAAAGTATCCTATTGTCATTCTAATATATTAGGATTATAATTTCAGGATATATTATAATTTAAAGACGATAGGTTCAGTAGTTTTTGCGTGAAAACGTAATAAACATATCTACTTTCACATTTATTACATTAGTGAGAATTGAGAGGAAGCGTCTTTGTAGTTTTACTACAGAATCCTAATATATCTGTTAATTTAGTTCAAACCCATTTGATTCGATTAACAAACAACAATGATCGATAATCACAGTAAAATTAACTGCATTGCATGTCCATTATTATCTCGTTTGAATCTGATAATTACTGGATTAATTCAGTTAATTATAACTGAGTCAGGACATCTCTTTGTGATATTAACTTGATTATCATTTCTCATGAAATAAATAATTAAAATTGTAGGCCCGGTGAACTAGTGGATTAACATACCGCCATCGATAATCCCGGGTTCGATTCCTCGCACGGTACAAACATTGATGAGTACGATTGTTTGTACCGGTCTGGGTGTTTTTTATGTATAATATGTATATATTTATGAAAAAAAACGTCTATATGTTTGTATCAGTTGTCTAGTATCCATAACACAAGTTTTAGCTAGCTTAACTTGGGTCTAGATGGCGCTGTGTGAATTGTCCTGACATTGTTATTATATTACTGTAAAGTTTCATCAAAATAGTTCAGTAGTTTTTGCGTGAAAGAGTAACAAACATCCATCCATACTCACAAACTTTTGCGTTTATAATGTTCCTAAGATTGGAATAAACATATGGATATACTAACAGCAATAGATTTATCAATTATATATAGTAGTATTGCAAAACAGCTGAAGGAATATATGCCGATACCGCAGAACCTCTTCTGTTGGGACATCCTGTGATCTGTTGATTGTTTAATCTGCAACAAATAATCAGTAATTAATATATATTTAATAGAATTAGATGTTATTTTGCGGAAGTCCATTTCACTACTAATTAACATGTGTGAGACAGTAACGGTCGGAATTTGATCGCCACTGGAGAAGGTCGTAGCGCTGGTCAGGGTTCCACACCGAATATTCGTAGTCTCACACATGTTAATTGCAGCGGAATTAAACAAAATAATATGAATCCATCGAGTAGTAATTAATATATTATTATGAAACAAAATCTTTTTACAGAATGAAAATTCAAACACTTATCTTACTAATACATGTTATAAATGCGAAAGGTTGTGAGTATGGATGTTTGTTACTCTTTTACGCAAAAACTACTAAAGGCATTTTGATAATTCATCGTCGCAGCCCGGAAGACGTCCACTGCTGGACATAGGCCTCCCCCAAAGATCTCCACGACGGTCCTGCGCTGCTCGCATCCAATGCCTTCCAGCGATCTTGACCAGATCGTCGGTCCACCTTGCTGGAGTCCTTCCCACGCCTAGTAAAGTCCTGGAGTGGCGACCGCGGACTGAAAACGTCAGTCCGCGGTCGCCACTCCAGGACTTTACTGCCCCAACGGCCATCTGTCCTACGAGCTATGTACCCCTGCACATTGCCACTTCAGTGTCTTAATTCTTCGGGCTATGTCGGTCACACTCATTTCTGATTAGGGGGGAAGGGTATTCTTAATAATGTGGACTCTTGACCCCATTGCTAGCAATGTACCATGTCAGGTTGACCTCCACGCGGTTCCCCCTGGATACCATCGTGATAAATTAAAGGTGAATTTGTCACGATGGGCTAACTGACCTGACCTCATGCTCATATTATCACCCTCCACTGGTGCCCCGCCAGCGTAAACCGTTAGCGCAGGCGGGTGCACCATTTCATTATCACATACAAAATAAAAAAAAACTCATTTCTGATTTGATCACGCAGAGAAATTTTGGTAATTACATAAATTTTTTTTCGTAAATACATACAAATTATACATAGAAAACAGCCAGACCGATACAAACAATCATACTCATGAATACAAATGTTTGTGCACGAGGAATCGAACCCGCGACCATCGGAAGTACGGCGGTGTGTACCACTAGACCACCGAGGCTGTATAATCTCCATAAGTTTATGAGGACAGATTGCAACATGAAGTTAAAACAATGTAGGCTGCACAAGCATCAGAAGGGCCCCGAAACAGTCGTGGGAGAAACCGCATGTTAAACTGATATGTTCGGAATATTTCCCAAGCAACTCTGTAACGACAGTTAATTAAAAAATATATTTGACGCCTCGGTAGTCTAGAAGACGAAAACACCGCCCTATTATCGCTGGTCGCAGGTTCGATTCCTCGTACAATACAAACATTTATATTTACGACTATGATTTACGATTGACGACCTCGGTGGTCTAGTGGTTTAGCACACTGCCTCACTTCCGATGGTTGCGGGATCGATTCCTTGTATTTCTGAGTATGATTGTTTGTAAGGTCGAAAAAAAAATGTATCTACATATTTGTATCAGTTATCTAGTATCCATAACACAAGCTTTAGCTAGCTTAACTTGGGTCTAGATGTCGCTGGGTAAATTGTCCTGAGATTATTATTATTTGAGCAACACACAAGTTTCTTGCACATTCTTCTTGTGATGAATCTGCATTCCGAATGAGTGGTAGAATCAAAATATGACTATTCAAAAGTGCTTGTAATGAGTTTATTTGAATAAAGATTATTTCTATTTCTATAATATTTACATTTGTATGACAGTTTGTATCGGTCTGGGTGTTTTCTATGTAATTACGTATGTATTTACGAAAAAAATATATATCTATGTATTTATCAATTATCTAGGATCCATAACACAAGCTTTAACTTAACTTGGATCTAGACTACGGTGCATTTGTTAAAGACAAAAGTCTTCAACATAAGCATTTCCCTGTAATGACTTACGGTGCAGAAACATGGACACTAATCGTAGGCCTAATTCATAACTTAAAAGTCGCACAGCGGGCGATGGAGAGAGCTATGCTCGGAGTTTCTCTAAGGGACAGGATCCGAAACGAGGAAATTGGAATGAGGACCAAAGTGGACGAGATAGCTCTCAAAGTATGTCAGCTGGAGTGGCAGTGGGCATATCAGCAGAGTCAGCGATGATAGATGGGGAAGAAAGGTTATGGAGTGGAGGCATGGGTCGACGGAGTGTGGGGCGCCCCCTGCAAGATGGACCGACGACACTACAGAAGGTGGCCGGGAGTGGATGGATGCAGAATGAGGAAGAGCGCACATGGTCTTTGGGAAAAGCCTATACCCAACAGTGGATACACATAAGCTGATGATGATGGCCTTAGTGCTGTTGGCCGCAGCTGGCCTTTACAGCTTCACCGGACGATAGGGGGCGAGTGCAGGTGGCACTCCAAACCAAAGGTATAGAATAGAAAATCATGTATTCAAATAAACTTAATTTAAACACTTTTGAATAGTCAACATTTTTTTTAATCTACCACTTATTCGGAAAGCTGTCTCATCACAAGAAGAAGCAAGAAACTTGTGTGTTGCTCTTTTAAACAATCCTTGTAAGTTCACATTTTACAAGTCGAAACGTGTGAATACAAACTACCAACCAGCACTCATTTATTTAGGCTCAAATATAAAAACACAATAAGATTAAATCAGTCGTAGTGATGTGAAGAGCAGACCAGTCTCTACAAGCAGGACTCGTTCACGGATGAGCCAGTCATCACTGCGCTCGACCATATTTTAGGGAGCCCAATGACCCGGCCCACCACGCCGCCACATGTCCAGACTTGTCTGGTCGTCAATTAATTTATTACTTTTATTTTGTATTTGTGTAACCTTCGTTCTAACGTCAAATAACATATCTAATGGTAATATCTCACACATTCTGCATAATTACATTCAATCAATACGTAATTACACTTCAATTACAATTGTATTAGACTGTCTGTCCGTTTTTGTCCCATATATCGGAAACCCTTTGTTCTATTGACGAATGGAGTTAGCAATACTTCTCATACATTGCACGTAAGTGTCGTTTGAAAAAATAAATTTGTAGTACATTACGCTTTGTCTGTCTGTCCATCTGTCATAATTAATGAAAAGTAATTGTGATTAGATCGATAACGTCGTAGACCAGTGGTAAACTACCCAGATTTACAAGCAAAGGTCGAGAGTTCAAATCTGTTTCAAAAACTTTATTTATCAATTTATAATCTAGACTAACTCTCCGTTGAAGGAAATACCGATAATAATATAATTGAGAGCGCAGTGAATTAGTGGTTTGTTACTACGATTTACAAGTAAAGGTCCTGAGTTCAAACATGCTCAAAAAACATTCCGTGTAAATTTTTACTTTTTTTGACGGCCTCGGTCGCGGGTTCAATTCCTCGCACGGCATAAAAAAAATTTTTCATGAGTATGATTGTTTATATCGGCCTGGGTATTTTCTATGTGCAATATTAGTGTATTTACGAAAAATATATATATATGTATATGTATCAGTTATCTAATACCTATAACACAAGCTTTTTTAGCTATAACGTTGCCGACCCTTAAGAAACCTTAATATGCCCATCTGGGGAAAGAGAATTGTTAGTAATGTGGACTAATAACCACAATCCTACCATTGACCTCTACGCGGTTCCCCCTGGAAACTATCATGATAATTTTCATGGTGAATTTGTCACGATGTGCTAACTGACCTGATCTCATGCTCATCTTATCATCCTCCACTGGTGCCCCGCCAGCGTAAACCGTTAGCGCAGGCACCCGCCTGCGCTAACGGTGTAAATTGAGTTTCTAGATTGTAGTTTACGTGGGTAACTTTTTTTGTGGATTAAAATGTAATGGTGCACCCGCACCATTACATTTTAATCCACAAAAAAAGTTACCCACGTAAACTACAATCTAGAAACTCAATTTTTGTATAATGGTTACATTACTTAATATTTTTTAAACAAATTAAGCACAATTGTAATGATGCTTTCGTAAGATAATTACATTGTTTTGTAAACTCTCAGTTGGGATTTTACAAAATATAATTAACATAATTGTTAATGAGCATTGCGCTTTTTCTGAAATTAATTACTTTTACATTTTATACTAATAGTCAGGTGATGAAAACACCGGTGACAAACCAAATTAATCTGAGTCTGATTAAATTATGTAAGTCGAAATAATAAATCTTTCATTTATATAATACTAGCTGTCCCGGGAAACGTTGTCTTGCCTCAAAATAAAAAAAAAAAAATTAGGGGTGGACTACCCCTAACATTTAGGGGGATGAAAAATAGATGTTGGCTGATTCTCAGACCTACTCAATACGCTCACAAAATTTCATGAGAATCGGTCAAGCCGTTTCGGAGGAGTATGGGAATGAAAACTGTGACACGAGAATTTTATATATAAGATTAGTGTGGGTTGTACTAGATTGAAATATGTAATTTAAACCTTAACCACAAGGTACAGAATACAGATTGCATCACACTTGTAAAGTCGGTTAACAGGAGCAATGTCACGCATCGGTTTTGCTATTCGATCCACACACAGACATACATTACAAAATTTTATATATCGAATTTGCGGTTTACATTTCCTGGTTTTAGGTGGAGATGTTAAGAAACATGTAATCTATACATATAAATAAAATTGGAGTGTCTATTTGTAATATTGAAATAACCGTTTTTTACTACATGCATATGAATATAAATGCGCTACATACACCAAAATAACATTTTATACAATTTTTGTTATCTGTCTGTCTGTCTATTTGTTCCGGCTAATCTCTGAAATGGCTGGACCGATTTTGACGGGACTTTTTTTAACAGGTAGCTGATGTAATAAGGAGTAACTTAGTCTACTTTTATTTTAGAAATATAAAGTTAAATTCCACGCGGACGAAGTCGTGGGTACAGCTAGTATGCTATATATAATATATGATT